AAAAAGACCATGATAGACCCAGGGGAGGGTGGGGAAATGCAGCGGGATGGAGCTGGGTAAGGGTTGGGAAATGCAGGGGTAGCCGGTTCCGGGGGCGCGGATGTCGGGACGAGGGCGGCGGTGAAGACGGCGGTGAGGGGCGGCCGGGGGGGGGGGTCGTAACCAAAAGAAAAATAAAAGGCGGGAGGCTGGAGGCGGTGAGCTGGGGTTGAATACGGAAAAGGCCCGGGATAACGTGAGAGGTGAGAGGTGAGCGAGGGAGAAAGCAAACGTAAGAAGGGGAAAAGAAAAATAGAGTGAAGAATGCAGGATCGAGAGGTAAGTAAACAAGGCCGAACGGAGGAGACATGGTTCGACATGTACCCAGGTTGCACGCAGGATGGTAGGGAGACGGGCTGAACAAACGCGCGACATCGCTGATGTCGTTCTCTCGACCAGGGGTTGTTACTCTTGATGGTGCACAGGCCTCTTCTTCAAGCCGATGTCCAGCCTTGCAGGCTATTGTAGCGGAGCCAAGGGTGAGCCACTGCGTAGGCTGTCAGTCGGTGTGACCATTTGTCAGTGCTGATGGAGAAGTCTTTCAACGGCATTGATTGTCGTCTTGATGCTGCTGCGAAGCCGGCCTCACTCGGGACGATCAGTGCTATTTGGCTGCATGGGAGTAGCAGTGGCAGATGAAGTGCTTGCACGGCCCCAAGATGTGCTCTGCTCTGAATAGGAAAGTAGTCAATGTTTTATGGCATCCGAACGCCTGGATGACGGATGCACCGTACCATGACTGTGGTTGCAGATGAACAGCCTCGTCATTGCGTTTTTCACTGATACTGTGCTAGTGATATATGCCGGCCGTCGAGAGCATTCCTCTGTATGACGGAGACTAACAACCTGATCGTTGTTGGATCCATTGTAAGATAAAGTTGAGTATCTTCACTGCAAGATTAAGACAATATCGCTGCATCTAGTGTTCCTCAACAGGCACACCGCGGCCTTCTGTCGATGAGGAGACGATGTCGAGGAACCATGACCGCCACGTCGCTCTGGAGACTTCCTGAATCTCAACCTTGTTCCCTGGGAAAGCAGTAAGAGATAAAACTCAAGATACTCCAGCCCGGGTGTATCCCCATCGCGATCTGCGGGCCTTTTCCGAAATTTAGATCCACAAGAATGCGGAACAGGGGAAATCGATATGTTCGGATCCTGAGACGGCGTGATCAAAAGGTTATGTTGCCAGTTCATGGTGGCTCAGCCACGGGGCATAGAAGGTCGTCGAAGAATATGATACAAGTCTCTCGGATCCCTGTTCTTTAAGTATATGGGCTTATTGACCCCGAGGCCAACGATATTGTCGTTGAAATTGGATCGCAAGCTGGACTCGCGAGCCTAGCCTGTGTCAGACCAGTCACTATGCACCCCCGGATCACGCGCAGCACCCTCAATTCTTGATATTCAGAATAGACGAACTCCTGATACGCATATTTGATTGCCAGCGGTGGTTGCTAAGGCCTTCACCCTAGTTGTCGGGGACCAGGAACCGCGAAGGGAACATCGTAGGAATAAGACTGACCCATTCAACGTCACAACTACTTCACCAGCTTGAAGGCGCGAATAAGCCGAGAACCAGAATCTCGACGCCGTGGCCGGTACCATGACCGTCATTGATGAATATATTACGATCCTCAAGAAACGGGCAAATTCGGCATGCTTTCTACCATGCAACCGGATACCATGCAGTCAGACGCCCAGCCTCATTAATCCGCATACTAGACCTGTAAAGGCACCATGTCAGAACCAAATGTTCCCCCATATCAAGCATCGTGATACCCTTACATGGGACTTGTAATAACGCGAGAACTTTTGGAAGCCCAGCGAGGGGCAAGTGCCCTTGTCCAATACCCGTCAGTATCTTAAACCCTATCCTCCCCGTCCTGGATAGCAGGGAACCAACAACCTCAGATGCTGACAAACTTGAACAACTCGCCAAGGAGAAACTCACTGAGAACGGCTGGTTCAACGCCTCATCCAACGCCGGCCTCTCCCACACCCACCTCGCCAATCGCCAGGCCTTCTTCCGCCACAAGATTCTGCCGTGCCAGCTCGACGACACAAACGACCGATGGACGCGCACCACCCTGTTCGGCCAGGACGTCTCAGCCCTCTTTGACATCGCCCCAGTGGGCATCAATAAATTCTATCGTCCGCGCGGCGAGCTCCCCGTCGCCCTTGTCGCTGCCGAACTCGGCCTGTCCTCCACTCTGTCCACCACAGGCTCGTGTTCTATGGAGGACGTGGCGTCGGCCTACGATGTCGACCGCGCGGCGGCGTGCACAGCCGGGGCAGCCAACGTCAGAGTCCTGGAGGCGGCGCGCTTCTTCCAGCTCTACATGCCACATGACGATGAGCTGACCGTCTCCCTGCTTCGGCGCACCCACGAATCTGGATGAACAGCCTACATGCTGACGGCGGATACGTGGCAGCTCAGCTGGCGGCACGACGACGCCGCGACGTTCAACTATGCTTTTGACCGCGGCATCGGGGCTGACCTCGGCCTCCCCGACCCCGTCTTTCAAGTGCGGCTCCAGGGAAAGGGCATCGATCCGGCGAAACAGCCCAAGGAGGCAGCCGTCATGTGGATCGACAGGATCTGGCACGGCTGCGCCTGGTCTTGGGACAAGGCCGTCTGGGCGCGCGAGACGTGGCGCGAGATCAGCGGCGGCAAGTCCTTCCTCATCAAGGGGATCCAGCAGGTCGACGACGCCGAGAGTACGGCGGATCTCGGGTTTGACGGCATCGTCGTCAGCAACCACGCGGGGCGGCAGCTCGATAGCGTTGTCGCGATCTTGGACGCGCTGGAAAAGATTGTTGATGACGTGGGAAACCGTCTCGTCGTGACGTTGACAGCGGCGTCAGGGTTGCGGCGGATATCGTCAAGGCGCTGGCGCTAGGTGCCAATGTTGTGCTCGTTGGGCGGCTCTGGATCTGGGGGCTCAGCATCGTGGGCGAGTCTGGCATTCGTCATGTGCTCGTGGGCTTGGTAGCGGATCTGGACCTCTTGATGAACGTCGCGGTGATCAACAGTATTGGGGATATCACTCAGGATTCGACGGAGTCTCCGCCGCCGTCGTGTGCCTCACTCAACGAGAAGAGCAAGCTGTAGGAAACACTGCTCGACTTGATTCAAACCTAGGCATCGTCTTTGCTTTCGCATTGAGACACCCGCACCATAATGACACGACTTGTTGAGGCTTCCATGTGCGCCGTGGGCCAAATGCTTACCTTGGTTGTTGCTTTTCTTGAGGACTTTTTAGAATGCGAGAAAGATGACATAACCTAGAACCCAATCAAGCACAACCAGCGACTCTCTGTGAAGAGTTTGTCTAGAGTTCTTAGCATACTGCGTCTCCTTCATAGTTCTGAACAAGAACTTTTATGTCTTGCTGGTTCACACATCTAACGACAAAACCCACACCCTCGAAGGCTACACCGTCACCATTCTCCACCATCTGAGGAGTGCCCAATCATATCTCACTTGTCCATCTGCCCTGCGCCAAACGCCGATGATGTCCTCAAAATCCTTGAACAAAACGCCATATAGTGGCCTACCGCGGCTAGATGACTGCCGTCGCCATCGCCGTCGCCGTCGCCGTCGCCAAGCTTACAGATACTTTACTTGATGCGCTAAGTTGAGGGAGAGCTGAGGTCTTGTCGGATGCTCCGGAGAGGCTCTGCTTCTTCTTGGCTTCTTCAGCTTTTCGTAGCTCTTCTTCCTGCTTCAGTCTATTTTTTTCCTCTTGCTTTATCTTGGCCATTTGCGCTGCTGCAATCTGAGATGGTGTTGGACCAATGTGCCCTTCGTGGTCATCGCCTGGACACCGCTCTCGCTCAAGCTTCATGTTCATGATGAGGCTGAGCTCGGGGCAGTAGTTGAAAATGTTTTGCCGCTGAGTAGCATTCTTCCAGACATCACTAGTCAAGAACTGGCCGCCGTCGCGGACATGAAAGCCCATGGGGTTCTCCTTGTATACGTCTTCGACTGCAAGCACGCCATCATCTTTGGCTGCGACCTTGGCGTTGGGAAGGATCCACATGCGTCGCCCAAACCACTCGTCCTCTGGGTCTGTATCGTTGTATCGTTCCTGAATCTTAAGAACGCGCCTGATCGCAGAGACGCGTCTCAAGCTTAGGCCTCCATTGCCTGAAAACCGGTCATCGACCGTTCTGGGAACTCAGGTCAGTGGTTGGAGCTTGGTTCGGTCAAGGAGCAGCTACTCACCGTGACGCACCAGCCCAGCTCCAGTGCAGCCACTCGTTCAGGCTGGAGTTTGAATTGGAGCAAAGAATGCTGTCGTGCTCATATTTGAGAATCCATTCGATTCCTGGAAGAAATTCATCGTAGAACCGCATGTCAGTCAAGAGGCGATAGACGTGCTCCTTCGTGTCAATTTGCCAGGGCTCAGGTAGGACCATGAGATCGAGCTTGCCTACAACCTGCTGGTTCTTGATTGCAAAGCTTCTCGCCACGCTGACAACGCTTTCGTTGGAGCCGATGAAGAGGAACCGCCAGTCTGGTGGAGCGACGGCTGACATGTGCAGGATCTGGGGCACAAGATGTGGTATGACGCGGGGCTCGATCATGAGGGCCACCTTGGACTGATTGAATCGCGCGCGCGGGTCGGCAGAAGGGTTCCAGTCGACCTTGATGCTGGGTATTTTCTGCCTGGCCTGCTGCAGTCTGGAAGACAAGCCAGCCTTAATGGCTGGTTGATAATGAGGGAGGATGTGTGCGAACCACCATCTTCACGTCGATCAGTGGTAGATCAAAAGGAGGGGCACCGAAGAGGAACATACGTCAAGACCAGCGATAGTGCTAGTAGGAGGTGGTTCTTGGTAATGGCAAAGTTGCCCGCTTTACTTGTCGCGATGGTCATGGCGACGAAACAGACATCAGTTCGATGCGATGGGCGCAGACGTGATGCAGAAGGAAACGGAAAACATAGGAAGAACAGTTCGGAGTAGTCGCGAAGGAATGTTTCCCAAGGGCGATCATAGGTCTCAATGGTGTTCTGGCAGCAGTTGAGAACAGGCCAGGGAGCATGGACCCAGGTGCGTCACATCGTCGAAACTTAGAGGAGATGAAACAATCAGGGAGGAATGCTCACGGCCGATATTTGCACCTTTGTTTCGAATTCCCATCCACGAGTGTATGTTCGTCAGACCAGGGACTGGCGTTTGGATTTGGATACATCCAAATTTTGGCAGGTCGATATTGAGCGACCTCAAGAATGAAGAAGGCCATTGCAGGCAACAAGAGAAGGTAGCAACAGTCCTGATGGGTGGAAAGAGCCAGGGAGTGTGAAGCCACTTCCTGATTGGGAACAAAGGGTTGAATGGAGGCGCAGGGGTTGAACCTGATTGCTGGGAAGTTACTTCGAGTGACTAATCTTAGTTCTACCTAGGTACACACTGTTCATCTGCAATGCCTCAACTTGTGTTGCGCTTCGGGACGCATGATTGACCACCACTTCATCATTTAAAAAGGCTCGTTAGATGGAAATGAAGAACGGATGGGCAAATGGAAAGCGACCAGACAGGAGGGTTCCTCATGAGACGGAAGTGTGGTTTTGTACATGCCATTGTTGTCTCTGTTGCACCTGGGGCAATTGCTTTACTCAGCAGTCATCAAGAAATGCGGGCCACTCTTACTTACATGTACATCTACATGTGGGTACCTCTGGATGGAGGGTGTATCAGACATACATGGTACACTTGATTTGGAGTGTTGCTCCCCTTACCTTGCCTTGGGTACACTGGTAGTCGCTATCAAGAGGGAATGTCCCTTGAGAATACGCTTCTCTTACTTCCTCGTGAAGGACACATCAGCGTCAGGCAGCTGCAATCCACGACCTCCAGCCACAATGGCCAGATGCCACCCCGTAGGCCAGGACCAAGGTGTATTCCAAAGTACCCGAACCGACCACCCGAACGTGGCGCTCAGGGCGATTAAGGGAGCAATCGAAATGGAGCCAGCAGGCATATCCACCCCACCTGGCCGCAACTGCACTCCAGGGCATCACCAAACAAGTGCATTCCTGCCTTGAAACGCTCACGGTCCCTTCCCAACAGCAAATGAGCGGGCGACTAGGAAGGAGCGAGCGGCCCGCCAGGGGGCTTGGGGGGCACCTTCGTCTCATTTTTCTTGGCATTTCACTATCAGACGGAAAGCTCCCAGCTCACTGACAACCTACTGAACTGGCCACATCCTGACTGTCAATCAACTTGTCCAGTTCCGGATCCTGAGATTCCAATCGACGTGGTCTTTAATTCTTTCTGCCTTCTAGACGGTCTGTCTTGACGTATCCACCTCATTCCATCTCCCCTCAGCATCGAACCATTGTACTACTGCTGCTGCTGGTCGCTCGGCGCGGGGACCAGTAGTAACTCACGCCATCACAAAATGGAAACCTCAAGGGCACCGTCCACCCCCGACGAGCCTCATAACCCCTTCTTGGCACTATGGAACATGACAACTAAGCGAATGAGAACTGCCTGTGGTCTAGTAGTTTTTCTGTCAGTCGCATCACATCGCCATGTATTTTTACCCCCGAACGATGTGCTGATAGTGAGCAGAGGCCTGACAATATGGCTGTCCCTGCCATCCATCAAGACCATGGCAGTTCCTCAAGTCAGCCTCCAATATGGTGTCCAGTCGCCATTCAACCACTCAAAGGTCGCCCTCCTGATCGAGAACCGTCCCAATCCTATACTAGCCCCCCTCATGCTGCACTTCATGGCTGTCGTACCCCCCGACTGGCGCTTCCGCTTTATGGGCTCTGAGGCATCCGTCGCGCATATCAACCAGTCTATGGCTATTCGCGAGCATGTCAATTCTGGTAAGCTTGACCTCACCTTCATCCCGTCCAACATGAGCACCGCCGGTCAGGAGATGATCTCCCGCTTCCTGACGACCCTGTGGCTCTACGAAACGGTCCTCCGTCCCGCAGAGTGGCTGCTTGTCTTCCAGACCGACAGCATCCTCTGCGCCAACAGTCGCCACAACATCAACGACTTCCTCGAATACGACTGGATTGGCGCTCCTTGGAACCCCTCCGGTCGCTGGGGTGGTAACGGTGGCCTGTCTATCCGACGAGTCTCAGCCATGATCGATGTCCTCCGTGAACAGGTCCGCGTTGACGGCACTGAACCCGAAGACGTCTGGCTCGCCGAGCGTCTCGCCCACCGACCCGGCGCTCGTGTTGCCAACGGCACCGTCTCCCTCACTTTCAGCGGCGAGATGCACTCGGGCGAACACATCAAAGTCGGCAGCGGCAGTGACGCCTTCAACAGCTCGCTCGATGCTGCGGCTGAGGGGGAATACGTCTCCGAGCTCGACAGCTGGCGCGACGGCTTCTACGAGCCTATGGGCTACCACACCGGCGGCAGCGGCGTCATGCTCCACGGCCCGATCTGGGGCACGCCGGCCCTACGCAAGCACATCTGGGATTACTGCCCCGAGGTCAAGATGACACTCGCCATGGACGCCGCCGAGTACGTTCCCGGTGAGTGCAATGCCGTCTGGCGACGAGACGGGACAAAGGAAGAGGCGGCGGCGGAACTGGACGCGCGGTATCCGTTCGGCTCGGAGATTATTGAAGGGGAAGAGTATCCTCTGTTGCCACCCGGCTTGTCCGCATGGTGATCTGTTGATTGTTTGTATTTCTTTGAAGGAGATTTTTTTTTCCATTTGAATTCCCCTCTTTTCTGTCATGTTTTCATCGGTGCCGGCGCAAGGTCTTTCATGTTCTTTTTGGGAGACAGGGTTTGGTGATGTCTTGGGCGTTCTTGCCATGGGACAAAGAGTGTTAAAATATTCTAAAAGTCCAAGGGACATGACCACGATTCTATCCCACATTCATGTCCATGTCCACAGGATGCTACTTATTTAAAATGCTCCTTGCACCACGTCAATTGATTAATAATGCCTCCAATGTTCGAAGAACAGAACCCGCTACGCACGCTAGGATATACTAGGATATGGAGCAGGCGGCCTGCCTACAGGACGTACCCTCCACTCCCAGGC